GCGAGTGGAAGCACAGGGCAGCTGGCAAGGAGGAGGAGCATGGAAAACCTTTCCAAAGAAACCCTCATTTCTCCCATTTTCTCCCATGGGCCGATGAGGTCCGAGGGAGGTGGGGAAGCAGATCACCCGGACAAGGACAGAAACACAAGAGGAGGAAGGTGGAGGAAAGAGGCACAGAGGAAAAGCTGGCCAAGAGGCTCAGGCTGGAACTGGGCTGGGAGGAAAGGCTGGCCTGGGGGGCATGCAGAGATGGAGCGACATGAGTTCCTTGAAAGGAAAAAAGGTGGGACATAAACATAAGGAAAAGGATTAACCAATTCCTGACTTCTTGACCTTCCTGCGTCTGCACCACCCTGGCCCAGCACTGGTGAAGTATTCTGAGCTGGAGCCTGATCACGTGCTTCATCCTTCCAGTCAGGAGTCCTGGATGCACTTTGCCCAGAAGGGACGACATCAGTGGCAGGGTTGGTGCTGCCCTCTCTGGGAGGTGGATGGTGGTTCAGGGCCTCTTCTGCACTCCCTTCCCATGTCCCATGAACAATAGCGCTCAGATCTCTCCCCACCCAAAAAGTACTGGTGAGCGAAGGCCAAAAACCGTATTAAGAAACGAAAATTCACCAAGTAGAACAAAGCAAAATCCTGCAATTGAATGAGTGCATTGGTATGCTCGGGTAACTATAGTTGCTTTAGATCAAATTGTCAGATGTAACTCAGCTGTCGAACTCCATCCCAGCTACTCTGGCTAATCCTCAAACTAAACCAATATCTTATCAGCCAGCCTTTTCAGTTATTCACTCGAAGGGAAGGGAAGGGAAGGGAAGGGAAGGGAAGGGAAGGGAAGGGAAGGGAAGGGAAGGGAAGGGAAGCTCACCGAGTATTTTGAAGGGTCCATTTTATCCACAGGACTTATTCCTAGTCTAAAATCCACAGTGGGAAGAGTTGATGCTTCATTTTCCCACTCACTTGTATCTAGCTGAAGAGAGCTCTGCATGGCCTTCCAGAAGAGTTTCTGAACAATTTGCTACAGCGTCTCTCAATAAGTATTATTAAAAGCTACCAGTCTTGTTTGAGAAAACTTCTCACCATGCTCAATTTGTATGTTAGAATTTAAAAGAGGAAGTAGCCTTCCACAAAAGTCACAGAATCAGGCAGCATGAATCTTTCAGGTGATGAGATCTTCTGATATGCACGTGGGATGTGGCACTACTTAAAATTTTAAAACAGAAACAAAAACAACAAACCTGCATACTACTGTCTTCACACACATTTCTCCAGAAATTGTTTGTTTGTTTATATATTGACTTTCCCTAGCATGATTACCTACTCCTGGGAGTCTCCATGGATACCTTGGAATAATCAACACTTGGCGTTCTTAGAAAAATTGTAGTACCTGGCTTTCTGGTGTATCCCGTGATGCTCAGCTGACCGCATCCATCTTGCTCTATCTTTTCCAATGCAGCTCATACTTCCCCAGACCTGCTATATCACTGCTTTTAGAGCTTCTAGCTTTCTCCTGCTATGTAGATCTGTATATGCGAAATTTTGGGTAATGTTCTGGGCCAGGAGTGGTTTTGGCTGGTTGGTGGGCTGAACCCATTGGAGGAATTAGAAGCATCCCATGCGGACCCTTCAGTTGCTCTCCTGCTCCCCTTGCTCCCCCACATGGCTTTCCTCTTCCTGCCCAGCACATTTGCACCTCCCGCTCCTTTATAAATTAAGATGAAGATTGACATTTTTCACCCCTTCCTGTGCCTCCTGTTTGCCCTATTGCTCCAGCAACTACTAGCTGGAATGCATGTCTCCCCTGAAGGAAATGGGATGATCTTCAATGGCTTCCCTTGCAATTATGTCACACGGACTGCAGTGCAGCTATCTCACGGGAGAGTCCGTTTGAGAGGGTGTTGTGCATCTGAGCTGAGGCGCATCGACATGCTGGTCCCACTGGGCATTGGGATGACATGAGCAGGCACCAGCACCTTTCTCCTTCTCCCTGATCATTCCTGTAGGGGCAGAAGAAGGGCAGTTCTTCTTGCTATCTGTAAATTTCACTCCTCCATACCTTTGCAGAGCAAACTGAGCTTAAAGATCCAGACAAGCAAGAAACCAAAGAATCTTGCAGGGCCATTTCCTGGAGCACTCCCCCCCTGGAAGTCTTCCAACTTCTCCCACAGCTTCATTGGTGTGGGTCACGAAGCCTTGCTTGCAATTGCCCTCTGCTCTTGGGCAGGGGGTCCAGGGGAGCTAAATGAATGTTTCATTAATACTGCAAGAGACAATGCTCCTGGATGGAAAGGCCTGCACTGCAGAAGTCGCTGCCGAGGCTCCAGCACCACTCAGCTGAACTGGCAGCACGATGCAAGTGGCAGTTGAGGTGGTTGGAGCCATTCCAGGACTTCACCGGGAAGAGTGTGTTCTTTCCCATCATGCACTTTTGCCGAAACACTAATTTAGCTCTGAAGGAAAATGGCTTCCCACATTTTCCATCCAGTGAAAGCAGAAGAGTTTTCATCAAACATTTGTGGACGTGTGTTAAAAAGAATCGAAACCAGAATGCCTCTTAGGGCTGATTCTTCGAGTATTCTGTACTGAGAAGTCACAACTCAGTGTGCAAAGAGAATATAGTGTCATTTCACATCAAAACACAATGAAGCAATGGCCTAAGAGAGCTGGACTGGAATGAGCAGAATCAATGCAACTGATATTACCAACATACTCTTAAAATAAGGTTAGATATGATTCCAAAAGAATGCATAGTTGCATCTAAAATTTCCAGTAATATTTGTAGAAGAAGGAGTTGAGTTGGAAGCCTTTCGCTGAATACTCTCCCAGAAGCTGGCGGGATAAAAGAC